AAAAAAAAAAACAATAATAAAAAAAAAAAGGAATAAACATAATAAAAAAGGAAAAGGAAAAAAAAAAAAAGTAAATCATCCTTCACCGTCGGCTGGCTGCACACACCGGACATATCCCACACACAGCCGCACAATCTGCACAAACAGATGTATGTCCACAAACAAAAATACTTTTTCCCTGCAATTTAGGTGCAGCCGAGCAGCGAGCGCAGAGTCCTTTCGTCATTCGCCCTTGCAGGACTCGCTGCATTCGCTGCTCCACCTCACGCAATAACTCACATAAGACATAAACTTCACTATCACTCATTAAGGCAACATCCGCCGGGTCTGGGGTATATCGTTGGGTGAAGAGAACCTTTTTGAGTTGCAGTTTCTCTTCTAAAATACTTTTCATATGGGATTCACTAAGTCTTGTCTGTTCACGATAATACGCACGTTCTCTTGGACTGTTGTATTCTACAGATGTTGGTCTACTGGCATGAACCCATTCATTCTCATTATTACTATTATTATTATTATTATTATTATTTTTATTACTACCTTCACGAGATGAGCCGGCGGTTTTACGATGGACTACATAATCTTCTTCCGGTTCTACAGACTTTCTGTTGCCCATTCCTTTTCCACGTGGGGGACTCCACACTTTCTCTCTTTCTGGTGAAGGAGAAGATCGGGGAAGTTTGCGGTCGGTGTCTCGTTTTAATCGTTCCCACTCCCGTCGAACTTCATTTACGGTTTGTTGTCGTTCAAACTCACTGAGAATATCATCACTTCCATTGCCAGCAGAACCAGGCCAATTATACGAACCACCGTAATTCTCTACATCATCATCATCATCCTCATCCTCATCTTCATCATGACGGGTATATCGTGTATAGTTACCACTATTATACTTCTTGGTACTATTATTGCCATTAAGACCACGTTGTTGATGTTGTTGTTGTTGTTTTTGTTGTTCTTTCCTGCTAGCATTATATACTCCATTTCCTCCTATTATGCCTTCTGCCTCTTCTTCTTCTTCTTCTTGACGACTCTTTACACCAGCCCCTATATCTGCAGCAAAAGAAGCCGGTGTTGGCTTTCCTCGTGGTGGAGGTGTTTTCTTTTGTCTTTGTCTTTGTTGTTGTTCTTGTTGTTGTTGTTGTTGTTGTTCCTCCTGTTTTGGTTTTTGCTCTTCTGGTTTGGGTTGCCTATGGGGTTGATAGCGTTGGTGATTATTCGGTGGAGTTGATGGGGCGGCACTTTCATGCATAGAATAGCCACTAACAGGAACACGATCACCGTGGGCACGACGCCAACGTTCATCTGCCTTTTCATGCACATCAGAGGCACTAAAGCGGAAAGTACCAGGACCCACGCCCTTATTGGTAGTATCACTATTGCTATTGTTATTATTGTTATTATTATTATTACCGTTGCTGTTACTCCTACTATTATTATTATTATTATTCGTATTCGTATTATTACTACTATTGGTGTTGTTATTATTATTATTATTATTATTATTATTATTATTATTAGCAGTACCGTAGTAAACACGGGTTGTACCATTACTATTCACCTTCACGGATGTCTTTGTGCGTGGATTCCGTTTCTCTTGTGTAAATCCACCAGGCGAAACGCCAAAGAGTTCCTCTTCAGTAAAAACATGTGTTGTTGGCTCTTCTGTAAAGTGTGGACGCCTTGCATATTGAAATCCCGAACCCGCATTATTACCATGCGTCGTATTGAATGTAAAAAACGTAGTGGTGGTATGTCCAGCGGTAGTCGTGTTGGATCTGTAATATCCATTCCCACCAGTTCCCGCCGTATTATTATTATTATTATTATTATTATTATTATTATTATTGTGATAATACGGCGGTTGGACATCTCGGCCTCCGTGGCGGCGGAAGTGCAGAGTGAGGGCCTCGTAGGCTTCATTCACCCGCTTGAATTGTTCGGCGCCGGCGGGATTGCGGTCCGGGTGGAGGGCGAGGGCCTTCTGGTGGTACGCCCGGCGGAGGGCCGCCTCGTCGGAGCCGCGGGGAAGACCCAACAGGCGGAAGTGGGCATCCATTTCTCGGCCCTCTCGCAATAATAATAATAATAATAATAAATAATAATAATAATAATAATACTAAATAATAATAATAATAATAATAATACTAAATAATAATAATAGTGATAATAGGGATAGTGGGAAAAGATCTAGAATTAGGTGTACAATACTCTGGGTGTGAGGGAGGGTTTGGTTTTTGGTTTTGGTATTCTTTGGGTTGAAAACTTTCTTTTCTTTTTTCTTCGTTTACTAATGGTATACTTTTGTATTGGTGTGTGTGTGTATGTGTGTAGGGGGTGGAGGGACGTGACCGTGTAAATTTGTTTTTACCGGTGGTCTAAACACAATCGTCTTTTCGTTCTATTTTTTTTCTTTTCTTCTCTCTTTCTGTGAGTGTGAATGTGTGTGTTTAGACCCTTTGGTGTAATATAGTCAGAAAGTTCCCCTTTTGTTTTTTTTTCTGCTTTTTTTTCTTTTTTTTTTTCCTCTACTGTATATATATATATATATATATATGAGAGAGAGGTGAATATCAATAAGACATTAGAGAGAACAGCAATAGAAGAGAAGAGGATATTGTATTATTATTGAAAGAACAAGAACCACAATTAATAATAATAGTTAACAACATATTTCCTGCTAATGTCAACTTTTATGAAAGGAGACGCAAACAAAAAGAAAACAAAACAAAACAAAACAAAACAAAATGAAAAGGAAATAAAAAAAACATCTTTATGTATTTAAAAAAAAAAAGCAAACAAGACATATATAATCACCCAGAATACTCACACCCCACGTATATATATATATATATATAGCCACTACAATCAAAAAGAGTCATCGTAGAGAAATATATAAAAAGGAAAAAAGGCAAAAAAGAAAAGAAAAGGCGTTTAATGAGTATAGGTGCAAATTAAATTTCGACAATTTGAGCAAAAAAAAAAAAAAACACTATTGTAATAAACTTACAATTGTATCTAATAATTAGAGCGAACAACAAAAAAAAAAAAGAAAAAAAAAGAAATCGGTGGGGGAAAAAAGAATCTTTTTCCCCGCTATGCTTCCTATATTTCCAGCCTTACAAGTCAAGGAGAAAAGAATGAAAAATAAAAATAAAAATAAAAACGAAAAAAAAACAAAAAACGAGCCTTTTTTTTATTAGTCTTCTGGGAATCATTATTCATTGTGGCCTTTTTCTTTTTTTGTTTTGATTATTTTTTTCCCTATTGATAATAATAATAAGAAGAAGAAGAAAAAGAAAAGAACTATATGCTTACTACTATTGGATCGCACTATTTTTTTTCCTTATTTTTACTTTATTTCATTCAAATGAAATAATTAAAGTTCAACCTTCTTTTTTTTTTATTTCCCTTTTCAACAAAAAAGGGGGAAAAAAGAAAAACTCCTTTTCCTTTCTTTTTTTTTTATTTATTTTTTCCCTTGACCTTAGTGGTTTCTTCACATCTTCCTTTTCTTTTCAAGTGTAATTACTCCCATACTCCTTTCGTCATCCGCCTTTCTTTTTTTCTCTTCTTTTTTATTTATTTATCTTCACTCGTATCTTTCCTCTTAAAGAGTGGTAGTGTTGTCTTCATTTATTTAACTATTTTATTTTTCTTTTTTTTTGTTTTGTGGACTTACTTTTGCAACTACTACTCTCTCATCTCTGCATACTTATTATTTTTTTTTATTTTTTCTTTTTCTTTTTCTTCTTACACTTCACGAGAAATAAGAAATTTCTCCTTCTTTGGTTCTCTCTCTCTCTCTCTCTCTCTCTCTCTCTCTCTCTTCACTCTTCACTGCTATTGTTTATTCCTATTTACTACTCACTCCCCGCCCAACGGAGAAACTCCAACTGGTTTCCCCCTTCTTCACTACCTACTATTAATACTTCACTGTATATATGTGCTTAGGCTCATGTATGTATTCAAGAAAAGAAAAAAAAAAGAAAATTATTATTATTATTATTATTATTATTATTATTATTATTATTTTTACAAATATTGTATGTGTTTAATAAGTATATAAGTATATATGTATACTTTGCCCAGTTCTTGTTCTTTTCTTTTCTCTTATTTTTTAAACTTTTTTTTTTTCTTCTTTTCTTCTAGTCCAGCAACTCACGGATCAAAAAACTCTCGCTGTCCCGCAATACTCTTAACATCACACTATTCGCCCCTGACGTCAGTGCCTCCTTTATCGCCTCCTGAAATGATTTAATTCCCGCCAGTCCTTTACCATCACACTCCAGAAGAACATCATTTAATTGAATGGTAACTTCCTCCTTTTTCTTCTTCTTATTACCCTTATTATTATCCTTATTATTATTATTATTATTATTATTATTATTATTATTATTATTATTATTATTATTATTATTATTATCATTATTATTATCTGTTTCTCCTTCTTTAGGGGCAACCGTGTCATCATCTCCCGATGCCCGTGTGGCTGTGTCGGAGTCTTTCTCTGTTTCAGTTTCTGTTTTACTTTCTCTTGATGTTGGTAAAGGGGTCTGTGGTTTTAAATGCGGAAAAGACGGACGTCGCTTTCGTAACTCCACACACGTTAATACGATATTCACCCTAAAGGTCGTCAAGTGATTGTTAACATAATCACATGGGCTTAACAGTTCTTCTGAACGAGGTGAAATTAATTTACGTGCTGATGAGAAAAATCTATGGGCACATCGGCCCAAAATAGAGCAAGTCAACATACCAATAGGCCATTCATAAATGCCAGTGAGTGTACTGCGGTTTTCCCTCACACACAATGGTGATGATCCGGCAGATGAAAACGCACGCATACCACTGAAATGCAAAGAGGAAGATAAGGGGCCTTCAACAGAACTATGATCTGCATAATAACGACCAGAAGGGGGACCACTTAACAAGGAGGATCCATAAGCTCTTCGGCGAGAGGAAGAAGAGAAATGTCTAGCACTTCGGGCAGAAGAGCAAGTTCCAGAAATAATACTCGGATGTTGTTTATGGTAATAAAGTTTTTGAAGACTTCCATTTTCAGATACATTACCGTTAAGTGGATTACACTCCATTGGATCTATCAAATGATTACCATCCCATCTTCTTGATTGAACTAATGGAGAATACCTCCTCACAGGTGATGGCGTTGTTAAACGTGATCCAAGACCTCCTATTCGTCTTGCAGGTGGTGTCTTGGCTCTTCTTTGATAAACTTCCACTCGATGTTGTTGAGATTGTTCTTTTCGCATACATTGGGATAATGAACTGTAATCAATGGTTCGTGATAAGAGTGATCCCCGTGTGGATGAGTATCGATCCAATGAATGTTGAGATCCACCATTACGTCTTGTACTGCCCTTTCTATGATTCTTGCTGAGACCGTTACTGTCAGATAGAGAAATAAATTGCTGCTGCTGATGATGATGATGATTATTATTATTATTATGATTATTATGATGATGATGATTATGGTGATATTGATGATGATGATGATGATGATGATGATGTTGTCTATAGGCATAATACTGTTTATACTGATGAAAGTCATTGCTCCGATGAGAGAAGCCATTCTGCATACCACCACTGCTATTCGTAGAACTGTAACCATTACTCTCCTCAGTGTGATTATTATTATTATTATTATGTTGATGTGTGTAACGTGGAGAATGTATAGGCCTCTTAGGAGATCGGCGGATAACGTTCTTTATATAATAATTCCTATCATACAAAAGACTGTTGGAGCTTGTAGATCTGCTAGGTGAAATACGCCGCCGTTGAGCTGCCTTAGTGTCTGCTCTCATGGCTGTGGAAGATCTTAACACCACTGATAATGGGGAATCTGTGGATTGCGGTGTGGACAGCATTGTGGTAGTGGAATTGAGAATCTCTCCAGTTTGTCGGATAATGCGAGGATTCAATTGTGTTGAGAGGAAGAATAGACGTTGTCGAGATAGTTTAAACTCCCGCTGGACGGTATTCATATAGTTCTGAAGAAGTTCAGCACGATTAATATCCAAAATCCATTGAGTCCATTCCAGAAGATGCTCTGAGAATTGTTTATCCGCTGTGATTGAACCATTCATTGATGAGAGTTAACGGCAACAAGGGCCGTATAGATGTTGGGAGAAGATGCAAAGAAATAAGTACAGCAACGAAAAGTAGGGTCCCTTTTTTTTTTTTTTTTTTTTTCTTTATTTTTTCTTTATTTTTGTTTT